GTGTGTGTGTGTGTGTGTGTGTGTGTGTGTGTGTGTGTGTTAAAGTATTTCTTACCTTGTAAGGCCCATTTTTTTTCCAAAATATACTACCATGTGAGAATCCACTGATCTTTATAGGGCCCAATGCCCATAACTTCAAATGTCATTGATGGGTGGGGGGTTAGGTTTAGGATTAAGGTGTGAATTGAGGGGTGGTTAGGTTTASGGTAATACAATGAATGAGAAAGACCTTGTGAAGATAGGAAGACATGATATGTGTGTGAGTGTATGTGTGTGTTAAGGGGGTGGGGGATTTTGTCTGTTGCTTTGGCAAAAGAAAATCTCATGGGATTTATTAAAGTGTTTGAGCTAAAATCTTAGTCACTGAAAGTCATCCTCATCATCCTCCCAACACCAACAGATCCCACAAGATGTTTATTTTAATTGTTGGCATGCCAGGCGACAGGTGAAATGCATTTCTTAAAAGAACGCTACCTTGGTTTTGATCCCTAAAGCCATTTTATTGCGAGCTAATCAATCACTGCAAGATGTCTCAGATTTGGAAAATAAAGATAATTAATACTGAGATTTGAGCTAATGTGGAAAGAAAACAAATGTGGCATGAGGGAGGTCTGCCAGTAAACTGTGAAAACCCCACATTGGGTATCAGAAAGCTGAGGACCAGATCCAATCTATGGTGCTGACTGATGTAAAGTCCCCTCTCTATTCAGCGTTAGCAGCTCTCTGCAGCCATGACTCTGAATAATTCAACAAAGTGTAAAAGGTGCAGGAGGAGAGAGACACAGGTTGGAGATGAATCCCGGGGAACAAGCACTTGGAAATTGACTTTTTGACGTCAGAATAAGCTGGAGTGGCACGTTTGAAGGGTCCAGTGAGAAGATCTGTTGCAGTACTGTATGTGTGCAAGTGAATGTGAGGGTTAAGGGCCATTTCTGAAACACTGGTGTCCCTCCTTTATTGCTATTTTCTTTTTGAGGGACTGGTTGCAGGAAATCCAACCTCAGGCTTTAAAGTTTTTTTCTTTAAAGTCATATTTGCCTTTAGAAAGGTCCCATAAACATTTCATCCCTCTTGGTCCTCATCTTTGAGTTCTGGAAGAATTTGGAACATTGTGTTGCTTTTTCCTCACCTTACTCCACTTACATGTTAAAAATGGGTGGACCAGGTCAGTTTACTGACCAATAACAGCTTAGATAATTTATTCACCCTTTTATAATCAGACTCATAACCACTGATGTGGAATCATGTATAATGTTACAGCACAGTTGGTTTTATTTTCTGTCATTGCTGTCTAAAGGTTTAACTAATATGTCTTGTTTAAAAAAATTTAAATAATCCTAATCTCTGTGTTTCCTCTGTTTTTTTAGGTGCCCCTGGTTAACAAAGGTCATCTCTCCTGCTGTGCCTCTCTACAATGGCCTGGTCTTCCTCTTCGTCTTGGCCAACTTCAGCATGGCCACCTTCATGGACCCTGGGATTTACCCCAGAGGTGAGTATCCATGTCTCTTGCTGTACCAGCCTATCATTTACACAAATTACCTGGGAAAGTCTTTTAAGGCTCTTTCATGAAACGGTTCCACAAAACGACCACAAAGACCAGTCGGTCTTCATGTTCCCTCGGGACATCCATAAATCACAGATGAAGCAGGCCATGTCCTGCCGAGACACAAAGCGAGCATTATGGAACCAAAAGAGTTGATGAGAACAACAAATGAAATGTGTGACAAAGATCTTCCTTTTAATGTTTTAACCCATAAGGACCCATGTTGACACTCACAGCCCTTTTTTAGCATTGAGAAACGTATCTTATTAAGGTTTGACATAGACGTCTACTTAACATCGTGATTCAGGAAGGATTAGGGAGGGACTGTGGGTAATGAAGTTTTCATTTCCAAAGTCTCTGTGCACCTGGGCAGGTAATGTGACCATGTAGCTAATTTTAGAAACTTTGTTTTCTTGTAACAAAGGTAAGTTTTCACTCATACAGCTGTTCTTATCCTTAGTTAACATGTCATATTTTACCTATAACCTTGTTTGACAGTATTTTGAATGCAATTTGATAGAGTAGGTTTGTCAGATATAGATGTGACATTTAGGTCAATGTCACATCGGGCAATAAACTTTAAATTGTACCGAAAAATTCCATGTGACATGTTAGTCACAAGGCGGCATGGTGGCTCAGTTGGTAGAGCAAGAAGGTTGACTGATCGAATTCAGGCCCAGGACCTTTCTGGGTAGAGTTTGCATGCGTGAGTTTTTTCCAGGTACTCTGGTTTCCTCCCACAGACTAAAAGCATGAATGTTAATCTTTCATTGAGCCGAGGCACTGGCTTACTTTTTCACATGTCGATCATTTCAACTCTGTTACTATCACTTCAACTTAAAAAGGTGCATCGTGTGGGTGGTTCTAAAGTCACCTGGTGGCTGGAGGTTTGTTTTTGCACACACCTTGCACACTTCACAAGACACACACTGCAGGGCTCCTGGGAAACCCCTCCCACTGCTATACACATCATGGGTTTCTTCCCACTGGAGTGTTTGTTCCAATAACCACTGTTTGGCCACAAATCTGTCACAGATAGAGCACCACAGATGGATTCATCTGTCTGGGAGAGTTTGGTCATTTAACCATCTTTATAAGTGCTTGAAAGAGTTATGTAGATGGGCGTACTTTCTGACTGCCTCTGCAAACTGTTCCTCAAAACCATCCATGTTGTTTGCAGGTACAACAGCCGGCTTCTGGAAGCAAAAACAGAACTGAAGCAAAATGTCACCTTTGTTGTCCGAGCGCATTTCAGCATAAACAAACATGCCCACAAACATCTGACAAATCACACAATACTTTTGTATGCCAAGGGGGCACAGAAGGCTTGGCGCAGGCCTTGTGCAAAGAAAGGGCATGCGACACGAGGCTGAGAACAAAGTAACGCAATTTTTGACACACAACTCTGTCATTGAGAGCGGATTTTACAGGTTCGGATAGACCATGCAGACCTTAAACCCAGACTGAGGTGTCTGTAAAGGAGAGCCTGTAGGAGAGCTTCAGTCTCTGAATCCCCAAGTAAAGAGCAGCACATTTATCACATGGCACCACAGAACAGTGTCGAACTGCCCTATTATCAGCCTCTTATGGTCCAAACATGTAGAGCTGTGGTGAACGTTAAACAAGCCTTCATTCTGACCACGTCTGACCTGTTCAGTTTGTCTAAAAGCCTGTAAATACCAGCCTCCTTATCCTCAGGCATGTCTGTGGTAAAGTCTGAATTCATCCCTGGAGACGACTGTAGTGTTGTTGTTATAAAGAAACGAAACAGTCATAAACAGGTTATCATATTATTTGTAGTTTTTGGAGTTTTTTTTTTTTTTGTTAACAAGGAAGTACTAATGAGTAGGTTGTACAACCTGGGTTACCTGTCTCACACAAGATCATGGCTGGTGTTATCGACTATAAAATATTGGTTGGTTGCATTTTAATGCAAATGTTAGGGACAATGTTATACATTTATTTCTTTTTCCTCTTTTGTTGCAAAATAGTTTTGGGGATTGTTCAGCAACCTTAAGAACCTCACTTTAACTAATCAGTTTCTGATCCCAAAAATGTTTTTATTTTCTTTTTTACCCCACATAATTTAATTTCACTTCAGTATTTTACTAATTATGTGTTTTCAAAACAGTTTTGCTGGTTTTAGATTTTAGCTACTGTTTAAGTAATTTACTGTTTGTTTTAATCTTAAACTCAGTCACAATTTATTCCTCATCAAATTTCAGCGTCATCATTCGGCACGCAGCATTTTATCAGAAAGTTTCTATAGTTTTGTTTGGGTTGATTTTTTTTTATTTTTTATTGTAGAAAAGAATGTGAAAGAGGAGATGGGAGTGTACTGTAACTGCTGTTTGTGTCTGTGGGTTTGGCAGAGTGTTTACCTTTGAAATCTATTTAAATCAGTGTGAGAGCTGTAATAACAGAGCAGGCTCCCACTTCTCTCTCCGTGCTCTGCCTTTTGTTTCTGTCATTTTTCTCCTTTCTCTCTTTGCTCGCTTTCATTTTGGACGTCTTTGTGTGCGTTCAGCCTCGGTACTGAGCGCTCACTGTAGTTATTATTGTACTGTGAAATTATTTTCTCAAGTTCAAGTGTCCCTTTGATCAGGTGAACAACTTCCTCTATTGTCTGCTGCGCATCTCGATCAGAATATTTTGAAAGCTTCGTGTGAACGGCTTTATCGTGAAAATAACCACATTTTTGTGTTGCTTTAGTTCCTCTTTGGACCAGACAAAAACAGTCACAGTGTTGTCATTAATCTGTTTAATGGTTTAAAACAGACTGAATAGGTCACATCTTGGGAAACGTCCATTTTTCTCCGTGGATTTGCTCTTTGTGGAGACAGCAGAGCCGAGGCTCATGATGTCAAATGCAATCATCTGTATTAAAACCATGTGTCTTCCTGTAAGCCTGGGTTTCTCACTCATGTACAGTGCTTCCTCACACTCCATCCTGTACGTCTGTGCTTTAATTGTGTGTGTGTGTGTGTGTGTGTGTGTGTGTGTGTGTGTGTGTGTGCGTGTGTGTGTGTCCCCCCCACAGCCGACGAGGATGAGGACAAG